AAAAAAAAAAAAAAAAAAAAAAAAACTCAGTATATTCATTGAATAACAAAAGACAAAAACTTAAAATAATAAAATTGGGAATAGATCATAATAGAGAAACCTTCATCTTGCAGGTAGAACGCAGAGAAAGCAAACTAAATATGAAAGAGAATTACTATATTCCAAAATCATAAAGAAGAGATTTACCTTGAGAATTGAGAGAAACAATTCCTCTGTGGCCATTGGGAAAAAATAATGAGTAATAAAACATAGAGGATTGAAGAGAAAACAAGTATGGTAATTAAGAGCGTCTGTTACAAAACGAATGTAAGGAGAAGCGACTGTTGGGTTTTTGCCTTTTGACAGATGACCGTAATCGATGGAATTACAAAAAGACGGGACTGCTTATTTTTCAGTAGGAATTAAAAAAGGCAAAATTCTAAGAAAAGAGATAAATAGAAACCCTCACAACAGATGCCACATCAGATTTGTATTGTCTTGCTTTATATAATTATATAGATTACATTATCTAATAATAGTTATATAATTTCAGAAAGTTATGTATTCATTAATATAGGATAAACGCGCAAAGCTAAGACTAGTACAGTAGAAGGCACAAGTCAGAGATATATACTATTCGAGTTACAGTAGAAGGCACAAGTCAGAGATATATATTGTTCGAGTTTTTGGGCATATCTGATGATGTCCATCTCATTGAAGAAGTATTAGGCATGTGCCTAATAAGAGTTTTCTTTGGTTTGGTAGCCAACCTTGTTGACTTGGTTTGGTTGGTAGCCAACCTTGTTGAATTAGTTTGGTTTGGTAGCCAACTTTGTTGAATTTCTTTGGTTTGGTAGCCAACTTTGTTGAATTGTGAAAAGTGTGTGTAAATTGTCAAATATGGTAGGCTTTAGAGAGTGAAGCTTTGGCTATAAAAGGAGAGCTTCAACTCTCATTTCCACACACCAACAAAGAGAGAAAGAAAGAGTGAGGTTTCACAGACAAGGTATAAGAAAATAGTCTGTGAGGAAAATAGAGAGTGAGCGATATTGTAGTGAGGTGGGAATATCAAAAGAGGGTTATTTCTTTTGAGTGTTGTAGTGGTCTTTGGAGTATTTATCTCCGACCTACAAACTGTAAAATTCCTTACTATAGTGATATCAGTTGCTCCTCTCGGGGCCGTGGTTTTTTCCCTTATTAAAAGGGTTTTCCACGTAAAAATCTTGGTGTCATTGTTACTCTTTTATTCTTGTTAATTACCGTATCTCGGTGCTACATTATTATTCCGCTTTTATTACCGTGAATATTATTTTGGTAAGGGGTTTATTCCCAACAATATCGATATTTGTACCTCTCTTCCATCAATTTAAAAAAATATGGATTCTCATACTATAATAAGATTTCAATATGGTCAACATAATCCAAAGAAACTTCCAAATTAACATTAAATCTGTGTCATCTTCGGTTCTCAATTTCTTTACCACTCTATTTCATCTAGATTTTACTAATCTTTTAAAAAGAAAAGAAATTAATTGAAAATAATGTTTGGAATGAATTAATGATTATCCTCATAAAGAGGATTAATCTTGATTTCGTTCATATATATGATCACTAAGCATTTAACTTTTATTCCATAATAGTATAATCTGAGTACTAGAATCTTGTTACATTAATATTAGCATAATCTTCTCCAATAAACACAGAAAAATAAATGTGAAAATGCATGCTATAAACACCATTCTGGTGACTCCAAAAAGGTTAAAAGAAAATGGATTCCATGAGAATTTTAGTAGTGATGTTCTTTACTTCTCTCTCCTTTGTGGCTCATTCGTATGGAGATCTGATAGATGATGTTTGCCAAAAAACTATAGACTACAATTTATGTGTCAAATCTCTTAGAGCAGATCCGAGAAGTGCTTCTGCTGATAAGAAAAGTTTGGCACGAATTATAATCAATTGTCTCAAGATAAAGCTAATGCCATTTTAAGTCAAACCGAAGTGTTGTTGAAGCAAACAAAAGAATCTGTTCTCAAGCAATGTCTTGAGGTTTGCAAGGACATGTATGATACGGCCGTTTTTCGCTATTTAGAGTCAGTTAACTATTTAGATGCAGATAATTTTTTTCTGAAGCAGCGGACACCGCAGGCAAAACCTTGAGTGATGTTGACACTTGGGATGAGTCATTTACTGAATCACCACCTGTTCTCAGGTCTCCACTAAAACCGAAGACGGATGATTTTTTTCATTTTGCTGAATTAACTTTAAGTCTGTTAAACCAATTCAAAAGTTTGAAAACCCCGTTCCATTAGGAAAATAATTATAGACATAAAGTGAGATTTACTATTCCATCTTTGAGATGGGTTAGTGCTTTGTGCTCAATGGTTGGTGCTAAAGTTTGCTTAAAACTTTAGTTTGACTTCATTGTCTATTCTCTTGTACATTCACTAGTTATTGTAAAAAATACATGAGAAGTGAAAACTTTAGCTGAATTATCAAATTAAAATTGAAATTTCCTACACATTCATAATATCAAAAATGTATGTGGTTAAGCAAATTGTAAAAAATATTTTATTATCACATAGTCACGTATGAGTCACTTGATTAAAATATGAAACAATCATCTTTTCCTATAACTTAAGTATATAAATAAAAAAAATTGAGACCTTTAGTTGCAAATATACGTTCAACACTTTATTTTATTTTGAGAAAAATTTACTAAAATATTATTTCCTTTGATTTAACAATTTTACATAGTTTTCTATTTGAAAATTGTCTATGTTTCATAAAAATATTGTATTTTTATTTCTCATATAATTAATTCTTTGCACTATTTCTGTGTATAGTGTAAGTGTGAAAACTTATTTATATACATAATATTCTTTAATTTAAGTAGGTACATATTTTTAACTTACAAAATTAATACTAATGATACTAATGCAATTCTCAAGATTTGAAACATCATGAAACCAAAGAAATACAAATAACCCAAAAAAAAAAACCTGTTTTCTTCCATAAAGATTGGTAAAGATTACATACAATGTAACTACACGTCAGTCTAACAGAAGTAAAGGTTTTTGCATCATGTTCAATTGTTTAGATTATCAAGAAAAAAAAGTTAATTATATCTAATATATTTTTGAACCATTACTAAATGAGGCTTTAAATTATAGACAGTGGAATGATTCACTTACAAAGTCGACACTAATGATGCTAACGTAACTCTCAAAATTCGAAATCATCCTAAATCAGAGAAACACAAATAATAACATACATATTTTCTTTCATAAAAATTGTTAGACATTACAATATAACAACAGACCAATTTTAAAGCAAATAAAATATATAAACGAAAAAAGTACTACGTTGAACAACCACCACCCATTAAAATAGTTACAAGAAAATAGAAGCTTAATTAAACAGAAGCATTACTCCACCTTGTCATAGTTGAACTTCACCTACGAAGAAAAATAGTCAGAAAGAAAGTTGAATTTATAGGATTGGAATAGGAGCAATTATAGGTGAAAATGTTTGTAACTGAAATGGAATTATGATATTTAATTAAGATCATGTCTTTTCAGTTTTTAAATTTTTTAATATACCACCTAAAGGTTTGTAACTGATGTGAAATGATAAGTTTGTAACTGATACGAAAAGATAATGTTTAATGAGGAGTCATGTCTTTTGGGTTTTTTAATATAACACATAAATAGAAGGAAAACCCAAAAAATTAAGAAATTAAATAAATACCTTTNATATATATATAATATACAAGGGCGTATGTAGAAATTTTTATAAGTGGTGTCGACATTTAAAGACATGATCAACATCATATTAGAAAATTAAAAACACAAACTCTAATATATGAATAAAACACAATTCAAGAACATTATTAAATTTTTAAATGTATTATTAGTCTTGTTAGAATTAATACTAAATATTTTCTTCTGTATAATGCACCAAACAATCACTCAAAAATAAAGCAATTCATTTGATTCCGCATAGCACGCCCAATTCTAAACAAAAACGCAAATTGCACGAAATGGCTAAAATAATTACCTTTCACAATAAATTTATTCATTGTGGCTCTAATATTGTAAGCACATCATGATCTACTGGTTTTGTTTGTCCTTGCCACCTAATGGTCTAAGGGTTCAAGTCTTACATTTCATCTTTTTAGCGTATACTGTATGGATTCTAAAAATAAGTGTCACACTTCCTTTTTACCTATACCCTGGAAGAGGTATATATAAGAGAGTTTTTTCCAATTTAAAGTGACAATCGAAATGAGATTATTTTTATTTAAAGATTCAGAGTCGCCACTTGGGATAATTTATGGTGTCCTAAGTCACCAGTTCAAATCCCGAGTCGAGGAAAAGATTGACTCTATATTACAGCCCGCGAACCAGAAATCCAGGTAAGGAATTCTGTTAACCCGGAAGAAGGTGTTAGGCATTCCCGAAGTTCTGTGGTTCCAGCACGGCCGCTCAACTGTTATAATTGGCCTATTATCTGACTTTAAAACACTTTTAAACCTATGTGCCTTTTAACTTTAAACCGCTTTTAATCATTTTAAGGAAAATTTCAACGTCATCTGAAACACGTCTTTAGACCGCGCCACATGAAATGCACCGGCAGTCCGAGACACATTTTATTTAACGTTGTTAAGATTTGGATTTGGGTCGCATGAAATGCACACCCGAATTTAAGGAAAGTAGTTTTTAAATAGCGCGCCTAAAGCAGCTACGCACTTTCAAGTTTGCGAGGGCCATGGAAAATTCAACTAATGGCACACCTCGATTCTAATTTCAAAGGATTGTCCTCAACTAAAGCAAACTACGCATGTTCATAATTATTTTTCTAAAGCTAATTTGTGATTATTGTGAAGGCCATATATTATTGGGGAGCAAATACGCTAGCTAACATGATCTATTACTTGGCCAGATTTCTTATGGTCCAAAACCCACCTTATGGCCCATTCTTATTCCTTGCCAAGAAAGAAACAACTCCAATTTTTCCATCTACCCAATTAAAAGCAATTATTCAAGAACCAAGACTACATACATCACAATCGAAACAAAACTAATTAAAACAATTTAAATGAAAATTAAGACATACTACTCAAACAACGTAGAATCACAAATCAACCAACACGCGCACCAAGCTATCATAACACAATAAAATGAGAATGAAAATTGAGAGATTGACCTTTTATTGATGAACCAAGCTGAAAATTACAAATCAATCGGGTTAAACAAGCAACAATCCTTGGACCGAAACCCCAAAATTACAAACCAAAACCTCGACATAAACCAGAAAAGGATGAGGAGTCACGGTGT